GCCCGGCGGCAGCAGCTGTCAGACTTTGAGTCTATGACAGGCTCCAGCAGCAGGGTTCACCTGTGCCTAACAATGCTCAGTGCAGTGTGTAGGCCTTAGGAACAATGAACATAAGAAGCTCCTTACATCTTTTTCATGTATGGTGGTGAGTTTTTGATGGATTATGTATCCAGTAGTAAAATGGAAGATGCACTTGCTGGAAATTGTACCACAAAATGCAACAAGCAGGGTTTAAAATACTGCACTGAAGAGCTTGGAAGATGACAAGTAACCAGTTCACCTATCCTATCTATAGCATAAAGCTCTAAAATACTTGGTGCCAACTGTAATGTTCTAGTCACACAGCCAACCTCTTCTGCAATGCTGCTGACTGTGTAATGTAGTAATGAACTTTGATTAGCTGAAGATTTAGATCTGTAGAATTACAGATGAATATATTAGACCATCGTTTTTCAACCAGGGTGCCTTGACGTTTCTACAGAGGAGCCTTGGCAAAATGCCTAAAAATTGGCCAAAAATTGTGTACAAGTCAGAAGATTGATCAAGCCTACCTTTTTAATTACACAAAGCCACAGGTTTTCATTGTGCACTATTACAACCTTCTAACCTCCTGGCATCCTAACAACCAATGATGCCATCTGTTGATAGCCTACACAGAATCCTTGTTTTACCCTCCCCTTCCCCTCTCTGTGAGTAATAGGGTCAAATTAGCTGAGCGATAGAAAGAAAAAGAGGGAGAAGAGAAACATTGGCATACTATTCAGTTTCAATGTGCAAAAGTGTATTCTATTTTCTTTGGAAGAATAAATCCCCTCTAACATTGGGTGTCCCTACATGTGTGAGTGTTGCTGCATTAGTTAAAATTAGAATATGTTTGTTATATGTTAGAATGGGATGCCTTGAGTCTCCATAATTTTAAAGGGTGCCTCAAGATTGCTCATAACTTTTAAAGGGTGCTTGACTGAAAAAAGGTTGAGAAGCACTGTATTAGACATGGACAAATATGTAAAAATAAATAAAAAGGAGCTAGGATTAAACTTAAAGTACAATTCCTGGTTTATGTGGCGCTGTGTTTCACAGCATTAGGGGCAACTTCCTGACTGCAGTCAGAACTAATCGAGAGTCAGGCTGAATGCTTCTCCTGAATGGGGAGAAATCTTATATCCCCAAAGGGAAAAGTGTGCCTTCATTGTCCTGCCTCTACACCTTGGCCAATCATAGGAGGCCTTGTACTCACTTTAATAAAAGTACAAAGCTTATCATGAACGACAGAGAAGCAATAAGCCAGACTATCTAGTTCTCAAACTGCTGTGAAACACAATACCGCTTACTGTTATGTAGATAATGCTACCACAGTATATTACAGCATACACCTTAGCTGCATAGTCATGTAAATTAATAGTTTGTTTGGGACCATATTGGGCCAAACAAATCTACTTTAAAGCTACATTCTAGGCCAGCAATGGGCAAACTACCTTTTAATCCGGCCCGTGGAGCGTGATGCTGTCAGGATGTGTGTAGGCGGGGCAGCGTGACGAACGTGAGGGGAGCTAGGCTCCTCTCATAGTCCGCCCTGAAGACCGGAACAGCGCGGGAACACGGCGAGAGGAACGCGCGGAGCAAAGGTAAGGGGATGAATTACTATGGGGGATGAATTACTATATGGGGGATTAATTACTATGCTTACTATGGGGGAATATTACTATACTTACTATGGATGACACATACACATCATTCATCTACTCTTGGTCCGGCCCCCGGGTCCAATATATGAACCCATTGCGGCCCTCAAGTCAAAAAGTTTGCCCACCCCTGCTCTAGGCAGATATACACCAGTTATTTATAACAACATGACCACCAACAGGTAAAGTGAATAATATTTGACAATCTTGTTACAATGACATCTAAAAGTGGGTGGGATATATTAGGCAGCAATTGAACATGTTGTCCCTGAAGGTTATATGCTGAAAGCAGAAAAATTGGGCAAATGTAAGGATTGGAGTGACTTTGACGGGGGCCAAATTGTAGTGGCTAGACAACTGGGTCGCAGCAACTACAAAACTGCAGCTTTTGTTGGATGTTCACTGCAGTGGTCAGGACCTGCCAAAGTGGTCCAAAGACAGAAAACTGACGTAGAGGTCATGCTCCCCATGTGCATCATAGGCTAGCTTGTGTAGTCTGTGATTCAATAGATGAGCTAATGTAGCTCAAATTGCAGAAAAGGTAAATGTTAGTTCCAGCACATCACAGTTTGTTGTGTATAAGGTTGCATAGCTACAGACTGGTCAGGGTACCTGTGCTGACCCTTGTTAAATTACAATGGGTATGTGAGCATCAGATCTGGACCAATAGAAGTAGGTGGCATGGTCTCATAAACCATGCTTTGTTTTACATCATGCAAGTGGATGGTCAGGTGCCTGTGCGATGCTAACCTGGGAAAGAGGTAGAGACTGTAGAGGCAGTATGGTGCTTTGGGCAATGTTCTGTTAAACTTAGGGTTCCATCACTCATGCAGAAGTTAATTTGGAGTGTTTTGGCAGCACAAGTGGGATCTGCTCATAAATATGTGGGGGGTCAGTGCTATGGGTGATTAGTGTATAACACACGATGAATAAAACTCTGCTTTGCCAGTTTTTGTTTTATCCAGCTGTATTTCTATATTTACTCAGTGCAACTTAGAACATCCAAGTGAAAGATCTAACTCTTAAAAAAAAAAAAAAAAAAAAAAAAAAAAAAAGTTTAAAAGCAAAAAATGATCACCACCTTGTGTCAGTTGAACCACCTTTTTCTTTAATCACAGCCTTTAGTCTGTTGGGCTGTGTCTCTACTAACTTTGTACATCTAGACTTTGCAATGTTTGCCCAGTCCTCTTTGCAGAACCTCTGAAGTTCAGTTAAATCTGACTGTTTGTGATCATATTCAAGTCATTCTACAGATTTCCAATTGGATTTAAGACTTTGCTCTGACTAGGCCATGCAAGGGCATTCACCTTTTTCTGCTTCAACCACTGTGTTCTCATTTTTGCTGTGTGCTTTGGGTCATTGTCATGTTGAAAGGTAAACCTTCCTATCGACAACTTTCTGGCAGAGGGCAACAGATTTAACTTAAGAACGTGACGGCATTTTGCCCCATTCATTTTTCCTTCTATCCTGACAAGTGCCTCAGTCCCTGCTGCAGAGAAACAGCCCATTACAGGAAATTACCACCTCCATGCTTTACTGTAGGAATAGTGTCATTTGGATGGTGAGCTGTATTGGATTAACCAGATATAACGTTTTATGTTGAGGCCAAATAATTATTCTCATCTGACCATATCACCACTTTCCATGTGGCCTCAGAACCTCCAAGGTGCATTTTGGCAAAGCTTAGTTGTGACTGCATGTGGTCCTTCTTGAGGAGTTGCTTTTTTTTCTTGCAACCCTCCCATACAAGCCACATTTGTGGAGAATTTGTGACATTGTCACCTGCACACTCTTTTGTCATAAATTATTGCAACTGCTTCAGAGTAGATGTAGGCCTCTCTGCCCAGTTTCCTCCTGGCTCTTTCATCCAGTTTGGAGCAACGTTCTGATCCAGGGAGAGTCTGTACTGTGCTAAATACCTTACACTTCTTAATAATAGACTTCACTGTGTTTGTAGGCATTGATAAAGCCTTTGAAGTTTATTGGTTTTTTGTTTATCTCCTGACTTGTTCCTGTCCACAACTTAATCCCCAAGATGTTTTGACAGTGCCTTGCCACCCATAGTTGATTGTTTGCTGCAGTTGCACTACCAAGGACTGAAATATTCCAGTAACGCTCTTTTCATGCTGAGCTAATCAAAGTGACCACAGCTGATCACAGTTGAAAGTCAAATGACTTTGTGTGCCATTGAGAAGGTGATTAGCAACACCTGATTTTTGTTCTCAAGTCATTTTTAGAAGGGGCGTGATCCTTTTTTCCAACTTTTTTTTTTTTTTTTTTTTCCTGAGATGTTGGTGTTCTATCTTTCACTTGGATTTTATAAGGTGCACTGAGTAAATACAGCTGGATAAAACAAAACCTGTGTCTGTCTTCATTTCAGGCTGCAAAGCAACAAAATGTGATTATTTTAAAAGGCTGGTGATTCTTTTCTGTAACCATTGTGCATAATAAAATGCAAGCTACATTTGACTTGCCTTCAGCCTATTGCAGTCTTTACACTGCAGAGCATAGACTGGCAGAGGGAGAAGTAGCACAAGCAGAGTGACAGAAAACAAACTCACCATTCTGCTTCTGCTTTTTTCACGATTCCCTTGCAGGCTCTGGAAGAGACCATACCTGTTTCACTAAACTGCAGTCCAGCGCTAAATATAAAAAATACTTTTATTACAAAACATGGAAAAACACGTGTTTATAGACACTTTTTATTACAAAATGTGGATTAATGATCCATTGCGGTAACCATGCCTTTTTTGCATGCTCTTTGAGAGGGCAAGCTTTTCTTTGGCAAGTCCTTTGATGAATACATTGAGGCAACTACTGGTGGGAGAGGACACAGGCCCGATTATTCAGCCTCCTAATTAGAGTACACTCTGTTCACATCTGTGTGGATTTTATTTTACTTGTGTTGCTTGCTAACAAAATTGAAGTCTCATGGAGTAGGCAGGGATATATAGGAACTCTAGGAGGTGGACCCAGCTAATAATTTTGCCAATGTCCAATCACCTGAAGGTAGTGGCAACCCATAGTATCGGATTCAAATCCTGTGCCCTGCATAGATTTTCAGGACACAGGATTTACAGGTGTGTCAAAATTGCTTTATTCTTGAACAGCAAAACCTGCTAGCATTCAAATAAAATCTGATATTTATGAATCATTCTTATACACATATTTGTGTACCTAGTTGCTATCTTTGTCTCAGAATGTGTGAAAAGCTGTTGGTTACAACTTTTTAATGTAGACTGAATTTACTTTGTGTGTTACTCAGTGTTTTTTTGTTTTTTGTTTTTTTTTTTTTTTTTCTCCCCCCTCCTCATTTAGTGCCACCTGGCCAGATGGTGTTCGACGTTTAGCCAGAAATTACTTGAAAGATCCGTTGATGGTGTATGTTGGAACACTTGATTTGGCTGTAAGTGGTAGTCTTAAGGTCTCAAAAATTATAAGTACTGTACATGTAAAAGAGTATCAATTTCTTCATTTTTGGCACAGGATTGCTTTTCACTTAGGGGGTCATCATTTTACATAATTTTCTTAGTGAAAATTTGCTGTTACCATTCATTTTAAGCCTATACTGCTTAAAATATATGGTAAGAAGTAGTATGTTCTGCAATGCATTTAAAGAAAAAAAAATTGATTAACATTATTTTCCTGTTAGGCTCCTGATACCTGACCAGGGTATATGAGCAATGAAAACCGTCACCAATCTTAAAGGATAAGTTCACCTTTTTCATATTTGGGGTGCAACATGTTACGAACGGAGTGGTCCCAGCTCCCTGTTGTGACATCTAGCGGAGGATCTTCTTCCTACTAGCTGTCTCAATTGCTTTAAAAAGCATAAAAGAATAAACTACATGTTTCAACCGCTTTAGCTGCTGTCAGCTTGTAGTTCTCAATGAACTTCCACGGCACTGTGGAGTGCCATGGTGGTTCATTAAATCTTGCTGTCATTAGATCTGCTTGCCATCACATCCCATATGGGTAAACGGATATACTGACAGGTCTGCAGGAGACCTGCATAACACCAGCTATCTGATCACTGGTACAGTGCTTTAGAGGCTCCAGAAACAAAAAATGTGCATTTTGTGATTTTTCTTTGTAAAAAGCTGAACTAATCCTATAATTCATACCTAAGGCTGAGCAGAGATGAGCATCCCAGCCTTGGAACTTTAAACATTCAGGAATTTCTGGATTAGTAATTTCCCCATGTTCACGGAGACATCATAGAGGTTTATTAGTATATTAGATATATAGTATTCAATCTAAGGGATGTCCTATAAAATGTGGAAACTGAGGGCACCTTACATTTTACTGCTTAAATGCTGGCCTCATGACTGTGTTTCAGGAAAAGCAACTGCAGTAAAAACTAGAAAGGTTTTCCCACTCTGTGCAATGTAAATCCCTTTGTATTGGCTTGTGTAGTTGTAGCAGTTTAAAGTTTTTGGGGGGAGCTTGCTGTTATGTAAATGCTACATGAATCATCTGCCCTTATTTAGGATGGCCACAGCCGGAAATGCTAGGGGTTGTTTTCCTAAGTGATTTCTCAGCAAGATAAAGCATGAGACATGAAAGGAGTGGGTTTGTTTTGAATATTAAAAATAAATTAAATACCGGTTTTGGTTTGTGGTGCTCAGCTACAGTGCAGTTCTGCTTTAAGTAGGTCTTCGTAACCTCTAGTTTTCCTATCTACTAACTGGAGATGATGATTTTTTAATCTGGAGCAATAATAGTCCCACTTTGTAGAGCTACATGGTTTGCAACATGTGTTGGTACATTTACCAGAATGAGCACTAGAGATTCTTGAATCTGGCGCATGTCATTTTAAGGGGTCGTGCCTCCAGAAAACTTTTGGTAGTGCTTTATTGAATTTCACTAGAGTGCTTCCACTGCTTCAGGAGAGATACCAAAACATTTGCATTCACCACTGCCATACACAGGATGTCGCCTTCTGATGCAGTCACGTGTTCCCTCTCTGTGCACGCCTCCCCGTACCGCCCTCTGAGTTTACTGGATCTACAACTACAATGGAGGCATGAGGTATCAATGCGTACTATCAGTGCGCATTGAAAACCACATTGGGCGGATATACATCCACCACAATATTTGCAGCAGAACTCCATTGAAGAAACCCTGTTATGAGCAGTGCAGAGAAGCATACTTTTAATTACTGCACTGTTCCTCACCGGTCCTTCTCTTCTGTCTATCCCAGGCTTTTGTATGTGATAAATAATAAATATCACTTAGGATGGACAAGAGAAGGACTAGCTGGGATCAAGGGGAAAAGGTATGTTACAACAGTATGTCAAAAAACAAACAAAAATTCCCAGCTCACTTTACAGCCTGCAACTGACCAAATTACCCTGTTTAACAGTTCACTTTAATACAAGGTGTTAAGTTTGCACACAAATTTATGCGTAAGCCGCAGAGGCCACACCACGGCAGCTCCGTGTACTACAGTTCTAACTCTATCAATTTTGAGTCTCCAAAGTTGGAGCACATCTATAATAATGGGTAGATGAAGTGCCGTATGCCTGGAGAGAGTCCACCCCTTCCTAAACGTATAGGGATGCATTGGACACCCAGCGGTAGCACAATGGCAGCGAAGATATGCAGTTTGTCCCCTCACCTATTACCAGCCTTACAAACAATTGGCAACCACCCCCACCTATAACTAACGTTTGTAGCTGAGAGCACATGGATAGGTGACGCATGTCAAAAAACAGCAAACAAAAATTCCCAGCTCACTTACCAGCTAGCATGCATCAAACTGAATTAGCTTAACAGTTAGTACACTGGGGTGCTGTGATGTGACCTCTGAAGCTTACACATATATTTTCAGATGTGTGCAATCTAAACCCCTTGTTTTAACGTGAAGTGATGGACAGGGTGATTTTGGTTTGTTGTAGACTGGCTGGTAAGTGAGCTGGAATTTGTTTTTTCACATGCGTCAGCCTTCCATGTGCTCCTTGTTGCAAAGGCCAGTTATAGGTTAGGATGGCAGCCACTTGTTTTTACTGTTAGAGAAGGTATCCAGTGTGTTCCCTTACCAATTCACCGTCAATGTAGGGGGGGAGGGCATAACGCAGAACTTCCCCTTTTTAAGGTGAAGTTCCACTTTAATGCTTTTTTAATTTTATATCTACAGCTCGTTGATCAAAGCCAATGTTCCATGAGCTGTAGGACTGAAATTTATTTTCAGGGTTTTCCCCAAGAGTTCAAACTTTTTGCCAATGGTTACTGCATGCAAGGTAAAAAGGTTCAGAAACCCTGCTCTAGAGAATTAGTATGCACGTTCGATAACGGAACCAAGGATGTGAGGTTCTGCTCACCTCACTCTGTACTTCTTGCTGTCCAGAGTAAAGGTACCTTTATATCAGGGTCACAGCCATAGAAACCTGACACATGATTACTCCAAAAACAAAAAAAAACAAAATTTCAAAAAAAGAGAAACTTTGGAAGGGTACTGTTATTTTGATCTGCTGTGCATGTGCAACTACCAAATATGTGACTGTTTTGAAACCATATTAAACCCAAAACTTAAATTGTAATACATTTGCAGCATACCAATCATTACATGTGGTGGCTGCATTAGCTAGCATTTTTAGACTTTTTTTTTCCCCCTCTGTTCTCACCTGGTGATCTGGCCAGTAACACCCCACATGTATTAGCATGCCCCTATTCTGGATGAAGGAGCACAGGGGACATATTTTAACAGCAGCATTGTGGCAGGACCATCAGCTGAGAAAAAAGGGAAAAAAGCCTATGAAAAGAAATCTAATGCAGCCCTCACATATTAGTATTGATGCGCTGCAATTAAATACATTTTTTTGGGGGGTTTAATACCTCTTTAAGTTAAAACTCAAGTAATTCTTTGTAATAGTTACACTTCGGTTTGTGTCTTTCACATTTTATCTTTCAGGCTGTTAATACAGTAGAACAGAGAGTTTTATTGATTGAAAGCGAAGACAAAAAAGCTTTTACTATTGATTTCGTTTACTCACTAAAACCTGAGGACAAAGCATTAATATTTGTTGGAAAAAAAGCGATGTAAGTATGGTGATAGTTTATAATGAAATGTATATGGTGCTGTGTCACAATAAAAAGAGGCCATGGTGGCAGATTATGATTATCACTTAAGTCCTGCAAATAAGTAGCCCATCATTTAAAGGCAGCTCTGGCGGCTGCAAGTCTCTAGCGCTGTTCCCGTTCGATTCAAGATGTCACAGCAGCAACTTCTCATCTGGGTTGAGTGATGCCAAATGTCATGCAGCCCACTTTCTGTGAGACTTGGCTGTTAAAGTGGTTGCAAAGGCTCAAGGTTTTTTACCTTCTTGTATTCTATGCATGAAGGTAAAAAATCTCTGCAGGATCTCTCCCAGCCAATACTCACCTAAGCCACCTAAGCCATCTCTCGATCCTGCGATGTGTACTGGAGTCTCGGCTATCTCTGGACTCCCTATCCTCATTGTCTGAGACAGAAGTGGAAGCCATTGGTACCCGCTGCTGTCGGTCATAACCATTGAGCCAATGAGCTGAGAGAGGGGGCAGGGCCAAGCTGCGACTCCATGTGTGAATGGACACATGGAGCTGCAGGTGCCACCATAGGAGTGCAGGGGCACCCGACAGAAGGGAGGGGCCTAGAGCGCCAGCGTGGGACCCAACAAGAGGAGGATCTTGGCTGCTCTGCAAAACCACTGAACACAGCAGGTTAGTATAACATGTTTGTTAATGAAACAAAAATCATAAGCCTTTAGAATCACTTTAAGGCCCCCTTGGGGGCTGCGTAATCATTCTGATCAGGGTCTGCAGTACTCCTGGCACTCAGAGCAGAAATGTTGGATGTAAAAGTTACCCCTGAGTAATGCCTGCTGTTGATTAACTTTTGACCTCTGACCTTTATAAATGCATGCTCTCTGGGGGAATGGGGCAAAAAACTAATTGCATCCAGGCCTTAAAGTGCAAATCTACCCTTTTGATAGCCTAGATACTTGCTAGGCAGTAGTTCTCTAGAACATTAACTTTTTTCTTTATTGTAAATCCAAAATATGTATATACATCATTTGGTCCATGACTTGTATGGAAATGTATATTCTCATTAAGAAACTTTTTTTTTTATTTTTTCAGTGCTGATGATTTGGCAAGTGACCTTTGTATTCAGGGAATCCCTGTTCAGTCATTACATGGCGATAGAGAACAGCGTGATAGGGAAGAGGCCCTGGATGAGTTCAAGACGGGTAAGATGTGCAGTTTTTTAAAATGAAACTATAATAAAAGACAAACCTGTGCTGCTGTTCCCTTTTAATCTTCCTGAACTAGTTGCCAAAACAGCTGAAGTTCTTTATTGTGTCGCTTTGTCTCCCAGAGTCTAAAAAATATTAAAAGTATTAACTACCTAGCTCTGGATTGTGTGACTTTGCATGACTGGTAGGAACACGTTTCTTCATAAACAAGGACTTCTGTGCTAAATTAAATAGTTTCAGTGAAACGCTGCAGAAAATGCTGGCACAATGTAACAACCTGAATGTGAAGATGAACATTTAATGCTCACTTTAAAGAGTAACTCCACTTTTCTTAATCAGTTCCGCGCTACAGGGCGGCACAGGTGTGCAAAATCCCCTGTATATATACGTAATTTTACTCTCCTGGGTAGGGGGCACATGCGCACGCCCTACCCGCGGCACCATTCGAGGCCTCGGCTGGCTTTCACCGGGTCCCGGCCAATGATTTCTTGCCGGCACCCGGTGATCACAGAGTATCTGCCTTGGGGGATAGACTTGCATATAAACAATACAAATCTCTCCACTGTCAGCTTCTGCACTCTACTTTATTTGGCTCTGCATAGCAGAGCCATAAAAAGCAGTGTGCTTACAGTGAAGCGCACACACTGCCCCCATAGTGAAACGGCACACAGTAAACCCTTTGATCGCACCACGTTAACCTCTTTCTACCCAGTGCAATTAGTACAGTATCAATAGTACAGTGTCAGTGCTTTTTGTTAGCACTGATCACTGTATTGGTGTCACTGGGGATGTCAGTGACACCAAGTCAGTTCCCCCAGTGTCAGAATGCCAACCGCAGTTCCGTTATAAGTCGTTGATTGCCGCCATTACTAGTCAAACATAAATAAATTCCAGTATATATACCGCCATTTGTAAACGCTATGCCTTTCTCGTAAACCAATCAATTTACACGTATTGGGATTTTTTTTTTTTTTTTTTAATTTTTACTGGTCATGTTTAATAGCAAAAAGTAAAGTTTTTGGGGTGTTTTTTTTTTTTTTTTTTTTTTTAATAGTGCAAAAAATAAAAACCTCACAGATCTCACTGTAAGAAATCTCAATTTGTGGAGGAAAAAAAGGACATACGTTTAATTTGGGAGCAGTGTTGCATGATCGCGCAATTAAAGTAGCACAACACCGTATTGCAAAAAATGGTCTGGTCAGGAATGGGGGGGGGGGGGGTGCTGCATTATTTTCTTTGCTCATATGAGGAAAGTTGGTGTCTGCATCCCTTACCCTTAGGGAGTATTTCACCAAAAATACAATTCCTATTGCAGAGGATTCCTAAAATTGTACTGGTATCTTAGTGCAGACTTTTTTGAGGAAATCGGTGAGCCATTCACAGAATCAGAAAATGACATTTCTGGGAAATTCTGTACACCACCTGTGTATTGCATTGAATTTTACAGAATTTCAGTGGCTGCGGATTGAAAAGGAACATTACTTTTTAATAACAATAAATGACAGTATGGATTGTGTAGCAATTGTATGATATGTGCTATAATTTTTATTTTTTTTTCCCACAAAAGTTGCCCTTTAACAAGACATGGGCATTATTGTGCTGTTTCAGTGTGAAATCTTTTTTTTTTTTTTGTTCCCTTTAGGCGCAGTGAGAATATTAGTGGCTACTGATTTAGCTTCCCGTGGGCTAGATGTGCATGACATTACACATGTTGTAAACTATGATTTTCCTCGCAACATTGAAGAATATGTGCACAGAGTTGGTCGCACTGGAAGAGCTGGGTAGGTATTTGATAGTCCTATTGGCATAAAAAGTCTACTGATGTCTTGAATGTTTTGGGATGCCTAAATGTCTATTTTCTTTATTATAGACGCTTGGGAGAATCAATTACTTTGGTAACAAAAAATGACTGGAAAATTGCAAGAGAACTGATTAACATACTGGAACGTGCAAACCAAGTAAGAGAGCAGAGTGTTTATTGTTTAGTCTGACTTGAAGCAAATTTTTCTCGAGTTCTAGAGAAATAAGAATAAGTCTTGTTGGGCTATGAGAGTTAAGGTGCAATAATTCACATACTTTCTGCGTGTGTATGAAGCGTTTTTTTTTTTTTTATTTCATCAGCAATTAAGGGGATACAGAGCTCGTCTCTCTAAACGCCACCTTTTTAAAGATAAAACTGTACACTGATTCCATTGTTCCGTTTTTGTCTCTGTCTACCTTATAGAGAGGGTACAGAAGTAAGGGAGTAGATGCATAATAGAATAAAACTAGAGTGACATTACCCCTTTAGTGTCAGATTTGCTGATGCCTGGAATGTGGTTAGGGAGTGATTTTTGTCTTTGTACTCTTACTTTCACTGCATTGTCATTTTAGGAAGTACCAGAAGAGCTTCTTGAAATGGCAGAGAGGTATGAACACCATAAGAAGAAGAAGGCAAGTGAGCGAAAAATGGTGCCCAGGCAAGCACGATGGCGGGACTTTACCTTCTAGGTTGGTGTATGATTCAATATTTCTAATGTTACTGTATATTTCACTGTTAAGTCAGCCAAAAAAAGTGCTTAAACACAAGCCACTAAACCCCCCCAAGCAACTGTGTTGATATCAACCAATATAGTGTACAAACACATAATTACAGTGCTAATAACTGCCTCAAAGAACTTTAATACAAGAACATCCAAGTTATACGCAATAGCATTAATACAAATGTATCCTAAACAATCAGTATTGTATAAGTACATGGAGCTGTGGTCCGAGAACGGCCCGATCAGCGCTACTGCCCAGACCGCCAGACTAGAATGACAGATCCGCCACTCAGCAGGGCAGTTGTCCTGGCTGATAGCACGTGTGCGACCCACCCATTGTACCTCACTTTCTCTCCCAGATCCCTACCTGTCCACAAGTGCACGCCCCGCCCCCTTCAGCAAGGATTTTGGCAAGGTCTTGCCTCCCGCTCCTGTCTGCCCTCAAGGTAGGGTGTGTTCTTTCAGGGGCACTCTGATGGACACATTTATATTAAGGGGCACTCTGATGGGACATTTATATTAATATTAAGGAGCACTGTTAATGTTAAAGGGTAATGCTGATGGGCGCAACATAGTGCCCCTTAGCATACAATGTGCCTGTCAGAGTGCCCCTTAACATAAATGTGCCCATCAGCATGCCACTTATTTTATGATAAGGGTCATTCTGATGGGCACATACTGTGGAAAAGGGCACTCTGGCTAGTACCAAACGCTGGCCAAGGAGAAGGCAAAATGCTGGACCATCTCATGTTCCAGGAAGTAGTTGTGCCAGTACCCTTCAAGACAGGATTAAAGGTTTCCTTTCAAATCTGTTAACAGTACTAAAGTCCAAAGTCATATTCTGGACCTAAAAATTTTCAACAAATACCTTCAAACTCCCAAATTTTGTTACTGCCACTCTGATACAAGGTAAATACCTGGCATCTGTATACATCCAAGATGCTTATCTGCATATCCCCTTTAATCCACCTCATTCGTGCTTTCTGTGCTTTGCAGTAGCAGGCAGGCATTTAAAGTTAGTTGCACTGACTTTTGACCTATCCTCTGCTCCCATACTATTCGCAAAGATCTTAACACCTCTTGCTATTCTAAGGCGGGCCATAGATCATTAAATTTTCTTTACTGCAACCATGGGCTGCAAGTGACAGGACACCCTCCCTTCTGTTCCATTGTTACTCTGCATTGCTTGCTGCAAAATTGTGGATTCACCGAGTTGCATATTGTTATAAGGTAGGCTTCTATGGGGCAAGTGCTCAAAAGCTTTGCAAGTGTCTAACACCTGAAGCTACGAGCCTAAAACCCAGGGTCTATGGATACTCATGTGCCATAGTCCCAAGATATATTTTACAGGTAACTTTTTTAGACTACAGTGCAGGACACAGGTCCCACCTATCTTTTCCCTGTCATCTCATTACTGCTTGCTAACTAAACTGGAGCCTCACAAAATAGGCAGGGGTCATACGGGTACACTGGTAGGCAGTCCCACAAAAGCTTTTGCCAGAGTCCAATCTCTTGAAAGTAGCAGCGTATAACGTAGTCTAAGAATCAATTGCTGTGTCCAGTACTGTACTCCAAAATATGGAAGTCTCAGGTATGTAAAAATTCCTATTCTTTCTGTGATGAGATCTAATATTTCCTTTTGGTATTGAGAAATGCAAATGCTTGGTACAGATAAATAGTTGGTTAGGAATAGTGTTTTTAACAGGTTTTGACTTCCCTTGGCTCAAATATGAAATGTAAAATAGCCCTAAATAGATATAATGGGATCAGGAAACCTTTTGTAGTATACAGCTTTATTTAGTGTTGATATCATATGCAAAGTCTACCTTTTTTATATAAAATAAATGGAGTGGACTGTTTTTGTCATCGTATACTGTTCTTGTTATGGTGTCAGGCATAAGCAAAGATGCAGTGTTCTGTTCTAGGTTTTGGGTATGTGAATGGTGGGCTGAGGCAGACTTTTTGTAAAAGGGAATCCTTCTTGACGCTACCCTTCCCTGATGGCTGCGGTCTCCTGCAATGTTTACAAGGTTTTGGGAAAATCTTTACTGCAAAATACAGTAGCTCCCTATAGACCTTTTTAGTTAACTACAGTCAGGTCCATAAATATTGGAACATCAACACAATTCTAACATTTTTGGCTCTATACACCACCACAATGGATTTGAAATGAAACGAACAAGATGTGCTTTAACTGCAGACTGTCAGCTTTAATTTGAGGGTATTTACATCCAAATCAGGAGAATGGTGTAGGAATTACAACAGTTTGCATCCTCTTCCAACCAACATACCAGGCCTAACACCACACTCAATACTCTCCTCCTTCTACCCTGTTAACACTGAGGAAGTTGTCAAAGTCCTTTCCAAGGCTCACCTCACCACTTGTCCCCTGGACCCTGTCCCTTCGTGATTATTGTGGCCTCCTTCCCGCTCTATTCTAAACTTTCTAACTCCACATCTTCAACCTCTCACTCTGGTGGCACCTTTCTCCTCCGCTTCTCAAACATGCTCTGGTTACCCCCATACTTTAAATTAAAAAAACCCTCACTGGACCCCACCTGTTTGAATAACTTAAGACCCATCTCCCTGCTCCAGTTTGCCTCCAAGCCTCTTGAGTGCCTTGTTCACAACTATATGAATTGCTACCTCACCTACGACAACCTTCTCGACCTTCTACGAGTCTGGCTTCCATCCACAACATTCCACTGAAACTGCCCTACTAAAACTCGTTAACGACCTAACTGCTAAAACTAATTGCCACTACTCCATACTCGTACTCCCTAGACCTTCCGCTGTTTTTGACACCATCGATCACCTGCTCCTTCTCGGTAAACTCCACTCCCGTGGCCTCTGTGACTCTGCTCTCTCCTGGTTCTCCCCTTACCTTTCTCAGTGCACTTTCATCGTCACATACAACAGCAATTCCTTTCTTTTGGGGTACCCCAAGGCTCCATCCTTAAGCCCCTACTTTTCTTTCTGTACACCTCCTCCCAGGGCCAATTGAAAACCTTCCATGGCTTCCAATACCACCTCTGCTGATAACACGCAAATCTATCTCTCCACTGCCCAAGCTCACCCCTTCAATCTCCTCACGTATCCTAAATCTACTAAGCGATATATCAGTATGGATGTCACACACCACTCCCTCAAACTCAATCTTTCTAGAATCAAGATTGTAATATTTCCTTTTCCCTGATCCCCCACTCATGACTTTACCATTAAGATGAACAGCACAACCATTGGTCCTTCCCCCTCATGCCAGGGTGCTAGACTTTGACCTCTCATTCGGGCCCCACATCCAGTTACTGGCTAAATCCTGCCACCTCAACCTCTGCAACATTTCCAAAATACGTCCCTTCCTGATTGACACCACAAAACAACTTATCCACGCCTTAGTTATATCCTACCTTGATTACTGCAACTCCCTCTTCACTGGCCTACTGTGACACAGGCTATCCCCCCTTCAGTCTACTATGAATGCTGCTGCTAGACTTATGCACCTTACTAACCGGTCAGCGACTGCTGCCCCTCTCTGCCAATCCTTTCACTGGCTTCCACTAACCCAACGTATAAAATTCTAAATTCTAACCACAACATACAAAGCCATCCACAATACTGCCCCTAGCTACATCACCAACCTCATCCACAGATAACTTTCAAATCGCCAGTTTCGCTCCTCCCAAGACATCTTGCTCTCTAGCGCCCTTGTCACCTCCTCCAGGACTTTTCCAGATTTTCTCCCATCCTCTGTATCTCCCAGGTCCCAGTATGTCTGGTCAGCCCCCACCCTGTCTGCTTTAGGCAATCTTTGAAAACTCACTTATTAAGGGAATCCTACCCCACTCCACCTTAGAACTGTACTTGAGTCACCTCTGCCAGATCATCCCCCGCAGCTATCAGCTTTTGTACCACCTCCCCCTTCCTTTATATTGTAAGCTCCATGAGCAGGGCTCTCCTATTCCTTCTGTACTGAAATGTATTGTAATTGTATTGTCTCCCTCTATATTGTAAAGCACTGCGCAAACTGTTGGCACGATATAAATCTTGTATTCTACTTATAATACTGACCAGCGAATCTTACTAGTGAAGTCTATTTCCTCAGGCATAGCCATGGTAAAAGTGCAGCTCCATTCAACAGTTTAAAACTGTGACATTTTTCGAACCTTGCTGCAATATTTACACAATACCTCCAAAAGATGTTAATATATTCTTTAAAATTAACCCTTTCATGGCAAAGAGAAAACATCCTAACGCCTAAAACCAATTCAAGAGGAGAGAGTATTGGGTCAGGCTGTACAGTGGATTGATCACTGTGCTAGCCAGTCTCAGGCTATCATTTGATCAAAAGCCGCTTCTCCCAGCTCCTAATTGTTAGTACGAGACCCGGGGTTGTCAGCACATGCAGCGCATAGAAAGAGACCCACTTCTGCGACACCACATATATGTACACGCTTGGCGGGAAGAGGTTA